CAGAGGCCTTTGAAGCTTCACTTCTAACACTCTGCCTCCAAACAACGTCTATAGGGGATCTACCAGGCCCACAACTGAACCAAGGGTGGTCAAACTTATCCATCCAAGCTCTGGCATATGATATCCTGATCTTCCCAGATACCCTATATAACATACTGAAGATCCCAATAGTGCGGTACCCCTTGGAGAGGGAGCAGCGCCATAATAACCCAATGAAGTTGAGGAGGGAGCTCTCCAAGGCACTCAGATATCCCAAGAAGGTATATACATACTCGTACTCCTCGCTCGGACAGGCACGATCAGTGACGGCAATGCAAGCCATCCAGACTGACTGCTGACCTGGTGGACTACGCCTTGCTAATGTCCTGCACCGCGGCGACAGACGGCAGTGGTAATGCAGGCTGTACAACAGGCGTGCGATGATGAGGTTCTGGTGTGGCCTCCCACAATTTGTCATATTTGTGGTTGTACTCATCTATCAAGGCCTGCACGCTGTTAGACCTTACTCCTCCAAACACAAAAACTTCAGGTTCCCATTTGACCTGTTCTTTGCAATATCGATGTGCTGGGCCCGCTCCTTTGTTAGGTGCTTTTGTGACCCAATCTCTCCAACTTTCCCTTTGCTTGCTGTGGGAGTCTGAAATGACTGCCCTGGCATATCCTACCACCAAGCCGAGTTCTTTTTCAAGCTCGAAGCAGATGTCGTTCCGATTCCCAGGATCGAGCCCCGACTTGCCATGCAGAAACGACCGAACCCGTCGAGCGATGTCCTGAGTGGTACGAAAACTGTTGCTGGCACTAGCATGCTCTAGTACATGATGTGGCTTGGCGGTAGCAAACCTGCGGCAAAGACTATCAAGATCTCGCGCGCGCTCTGAAAAGATGGCCGGCTTGGCGAAGACCACCAAGCTCAGCAGCTGGACCATTCGCCTGATACGTGACGCAAGCCAGGACGGGCCTTGCCCGACTGTTGCGAAACACTTGTGAACTGGATTCCTCTGGACCAGCGGGGCGAGACGTGGTTTCTGCAGTAATCCTCGAACTCCTGGCCTGGTAAGTTTCGAGTTAGTCCGATCCGCAACCTCCCTCTCCGCCTTCTGAGCCCAGTATCTGTACTGAACTCCAAGAAGTCTCCTCACTCCCGCTGGCTTTCTCTCCCCTGCTAGTCCTTGGAGCTGAAAGAAAAGATCCTCGCAGCGTTCCGACAGCTCCGACCAATCGACAGACGAGACTCCAATCTCGTTCTCCTCTGGCAGCTCGCAAGACATAGCTGGCACTGTGTCGAACTGTAGTATTCGAACTTGATGCGTCCTGGCTGGTAAACCTATCTGCGCTGGAAAGTGTGGCCTGTCGTGCCAGCCCAAGTCCGTTGAAACTGACGTGACCAGTGTGGCCAACTCTGACTCAACCACGAAGTAATCTATCACCTTTGACTTGCCTTGACTTGACAATTGGGGCTCTGAAACCAAAGCTTGGGCCCCGAGCGCCGCTGAACACCCAGAAGAAACCAGGGACTCATACGGTATGTTGGATTCCCCCCCCCAATAATGAACTGCATGTTAGACGCTTTACAATGTGTGGCCACACGCTCCAGGATCTCCAAGTTAGTGACAAAAAGGCCTTCTGAGACTTTCCCATAGACCGAGACACAAAGGATCCCTGGGGCCCCTGGGAACGCTACCACACATGAAAGCGCACGCCCCCGAAAGAGAATACCTTCGGAGGGAAAGGAAGGTGGCTCAAGACTATGGGCCCCTAGAGTGGCTCTGACGAAGATGGCCACTCCAGATGACACGCGCTCGTCCCCAAGGCCGTTGAGACTGGAACGAGACGCGCCAGAAAGGGCCCGTGAAACTCGGCGCCCAGAATGGGCCCCAAGCACTAGCGGCTCCCAGGGACCATTCGAGAAGCTTGATTTCCTGAGCAAGCAAAACTGCGACCGTGGATGTTTGCAACTCCCCCAGTCTCTGCTTTATGGTACCCCAAGACGAACCAGTACATGTTTCCACCAGCATAGCCTCCCCACCATCACCAATTTCCCACTCAAACTGGCTCTGGTCGAAATCAAAATCGCTGTCGGAAAACTCTGTCCCATAATGGCTGAAGTCATTATGGTATGTTGTGCTGGATGTGCCTGCATCAGCGATTGGCTCACAACGACCTGTAGGCACCGAAAGACAGTGGCTACCCTGGCGACCTCCTGGCCGCCTCAGATGCGTCGTAGTCTGACAGTTCTGCGGCTGCACCTCCAGCACCGCGAGGGGAGCGTGACCCTCGATCACGATCTTGTCCCTCTTCGTGTGCTGGTGACTGACCCTTGCCCACACCAGCCCCTCGCCCAGCGCCAGGTCCAGGAGGAGCCCGAGGGCCTGATGGCTTCAGCACGGCTGGCTGCTTGGCGACCGTCGGCCGCGGCGTCGGTGGAGTCCACGCAGGTTTAGGCGGCTGTGACACCGCCGCCTTTGCGAGCTCCTTCTTCTTGGCCTCCCAGGCTGCACGTTGCTCTCCTGGAAGAAGTGACTCCAGCACCTCGAGCTGCTGCTTCTCGAGGCTGGGGCCCTGCTCGTTGTCGTCCACTCGCATCTCACGATTGGCCGCCCCCTCGAACTTTTGAGCCAGCTGCTCTGCTGCGGTGAGCAATTGAGCGATCTCGGCGTCCTGAGGGGCCTTGGCGGCCAACGACTCCAGCGATAGCTTGAAAGAATTGAGGTCACCCAAGTGCGCACGGGCTGTAGTCGCCCATGTCTGTGATTGCTGATCCTCCTCCGTCTTGTGCTGCTTCTCGGCCTCATCGAGCCTCTGTTGCAGCTGTTTGCTGTCATCTCGCATGGTATCCAGTAGTGATTCCATCTGCCCAATGTACTCAGTATTCTCATCCAGTTGCTTTCGCAGCTTGTCAACTTTGTCACGTGCTCCCTTGACTCGAACCGTCGCACGATGTACTTGGTTGTGGTGGGGCAGGTGCACAGCGGCCTGCTCCTGAAGCTGCGCAAGCTTCTGTCTGGATGCTGTAAGGCTCTGCTCGTGACCATGAGCGAGTTCGTCAGTAACTGAGCTGGCATAGGCGATGTACTTTTCAAGAGACTCTGGCTGTGAATCTTGTGTGCTGCCACGATTGTGGCCGCATGCTGCTGGTCATCATCCCCATCTCCTTCAGGCTGGAGCGGTAGTTTGGCTGGAGGGGTGGCACCTCCATACCGATTGTGGCAATACTTGAACACATCTGTCTGCTTTGTTCCAGCTGCATGTTGGGGTGACGGCGCAACTCCAGTTCCTCCTTGATCATTCCCCTTGCCCTTCTTCGGAGGCCAACCGTTTGGCGGCTGAAAGTTGGCTCCGCAATCCTTGCACTGACGAATGCCAGCGTCGAGAAAAACCCAACTGCGAGGGCAAGTCTTGCAGCACACCCATTGCCTCGACCTGCCGCTGACCATGGCTGCTGAAGGTGTGTTGGAGCGTGAATGGTGATCGAACAACTGCGGCTGCGGTTGCAGTACTAGGGAAAGGAGAAAGACAGACGGCCCCCTGGCCAGGGCGCGGCCACCTGGGGGCCGTCAGAAACTGGTGTCTGCACCACCTTAAGCCAAAATGGCTTGAGCCAAAATGGCGACGGACTCCCAGAGAGTCTCGGACTCAGTGGCTCTGGATAGAAGCCGTTTTTCGATCGGGGTCCAGAAGAAAGGGTTCAGATTGCTGCATAGGCGCAGAGGCCTAGGTAGGGTGGGTGGGCAGCCGGATTTTTTCGTCCCCGTACTCTTGACCTCTTGCTGCCTTGCTCGCGCGCCTGCGCAGCACGCGCGCGGGACCCGCAGCCTTTGGACCCAGAAGAGGACCCAGAGTCCGAGACGCGTCGCCAGCCAAAAGTGGGTGAGACCGGTAATACACCAAGAGCCCGCGCCGTCGGCAGAACCCGCGACGGGAGGCCCCCGGGGAGGGCCCCCCCGCCGGCCCCTGGGAGACCGTCGTGCGGACGGCCGGGGGGAGGAAGTTGTTGCCCTGCCTCGCCTTTCGGCTCCCCCCCGTGTGCTGGCGAGTCTCGTCCGTGGGGCAGGCGGTCCCGCCCTGCGCTTCGGGCTCCTGTGATATCGATTTGTCCGCCCCGTGGGGGGGGCCCAAACATATACACACCACCACCACCTCCCTCACCCCCTCCCTCTCCCAGGAAAGAGGAGAGGACGAGGAGGGTCGAGAAGGGAGGAGGAATCGACGTGGTGGTGGTGGTGTATATTCTTGGGGCCCTTACCCTGCTCTGCCGTCGCCGTTCTTCCGCCGTGCTCTTGCCGAGAGAGGTCCGCCCTGCTTTGCCGGGGGCGGGGAGTTCCGTCCCGTTCGCATCGTCTGGGGGTGCATGTTCGATGTCGCTGTCGGTCGGGAAGTGTGCGAAGGTGCGCCAGGTCCGGAGTTAGAGTGGGGAAAAGGTCGGAGCATCCAGGGGCCCCGAAACATCAGGACATCTGGTAGAGGGAGCAATTCATGGGCCTTCCCCCCCTCTCTCCCAGAATTCACACTTGGCTCTCGCTGGGGGGGGGACCGCGGACGCAGTGCCACTCGTCAAGCCCGCCCCCAAGCACTGATCATGGGGGGGAGGCGGGAGAGCATTGACAGCTGAACGCGACATGAGTCATGAGTGTTCGCTGATTGTTGCTCCGATGCCTGTGGGATGTCTGCCGATGATCCTCAGGATGTGTGCTAGCCCAATGTATGTGTATCTTTCTCCCTTCTTGCCAAGGGGCTCGCTTGCGCTTGTTTTAAAAAGTGTATATTTCCCCCTTCAGCCCAATCCGTAGATCATGACGTTGCTTGGGTCGTATCGAAGGGCCTCGACGGACAAACACATGTTGGGGCTAACACGTGTCCCGAGGATGATCGAGTCTGGGCGCTTGCCTCTGCTCGGTCGTGCCCTCTCTGCCGGCCGCCTCCCTCTCCTCCTCCTTCTCCTCCTGCTCCTCCTCCTCCTCCCCCGCCCTCCCCTTCGCCCGCGGTCCGCGGCGCGCCTCCAGGAGCGCGGCGTGCCACCCGTGCCCGGTCTGCGCGCGCACGACGCAGCGGCGCTTCCTGAGGATCTTCGGCTGACCGCCGCGGCGCCTGGCAGACTCCTCGATGACAGGCCCTCCTCCTCCTTCTCCTCCTCCTCCTCCTCCTCCGCCTCCTCCTCCGCCTCCTCCTCCTCCTCCTCCTCTTCCTCCTCCTCCCCCACTTCCTCCTCCTCCTCCGCCACCGCCTCCGCCTTCGCCTTCTCTTCCGTCCGTAGCCATTTTGGCTCAAGTCCGTAGTGTTTCACTCGAGGACTGAGTATTTTGGCGTGGGGGAGCAGCGGCCCCCGAAGGCTTTTGTACCTCCTCTCTGCCTGCCCAGGCTGGAGGTACCTCTTACTCGTGCTACATCGGGACCGTAAGTTCCCTTCAGCAGTTACCAGTTACATCAATTTGCAGCCTGCGAGGGCGGATGTCTCAGGGTGATGGACGGGCACCGAAGACGAGCAGGCACGCCCAGAGGCGTCGTGCTGATGCGACGGATTGGTCATGCCGCTGGTGCGTCCACCCTGTGTCAGGCGCGGCTTGGTGGAACAGATCGGACAAAGTGTCATGTCAGAAATGTGGTGTCGCCAAGGCCTCTTCCTTCCTGGAGCCTCGGTTCAAGCACACGGCGCCTTCGCAGAAGCAGCAGCGTGCCGACCGTGTGGCCTCTGCCGAGCCGCCGCCGCCATGGCATGCACGCAAGCTCGCGGAGCTGGAGAAGCAGCTGGCGGCGGCGCGGCAGCAGCTGGCCACCGGTGGGAAGACAGAGAGCAACGCAATGGAGGTCGACGTGGAGAGTGGTGAGCTGCCGCCGCAGACTACCGCTCAGATCCGAGTTCGCCTTGACGAGATCGATGCGGCCATGCGGGCTATCAAGGATCTCAAGGACCCCTGCTTCGAGAAGGCCAGAGAGGACTTTGAGGCGGAGCGGAAGCGGCTGCGGGTGGACTTGGAGGCGTCCAAGCCAGTGCCTGCGCAGCTGCGATCGTTGTCATTCCAGTCGGCTAAGTGGAATTCCAAGAAGGTCAAACACGAGGGCCTGTTGGCAGCCGCCAAGCAGGAGGTGCAGAAGCTGCAGGAGACCATCCGCGAGCAGGAGCAGTTGGTGGTCGAGGCCGAGCAGGCCATCTTGCAGATTGCAGAGGAACAAACTAGGCTGGCGTCTACGGTGCCGAGGCCTCCACCGTCCTCCACTGAGGCGGGCGAGCTTGTGGCCGCCCTTGGCATCACGGTCGACAAGCTTGGAGGCATTTTGGCAGGACTCGGAGACGACGGTCAATTGCAAGCGAAGTTGGACTCGGCCTTGGAAGAGGTGCGGGTACTTGAGGAACGTAAGCGACAGGGGCGGGCGGTACCCGAGGCAGCACGGCAAGATAATACTGAGCCGCAGCGGGAGGCCGCCCCACCTGACGATGCCAGGTCTGAGCCGGGGGGAGTCGACGTACCAACACCAGACGACACGGACCTGGAGGAGCTGCGAGCTTTTCTGGGGCGCGCTGGTGTCGCGGTGCAGCCGGAGGCCGATGAGGCAGCGATCCGTGGGAGCGTTCGCAAGTTGGCCGAAGGGCTCAACGAATGGAGAACCGAGAAGCGAGCCAAGGTCCAGGTCCCCGCCTAGGGAGGGACGGCCTTCGGCACACACACGTTGTTGCTCTGCGCACTTCTCGACACGTACTCTGTTTGTATGGTTGATGGCTCTGGTTCGAACAGTGGGTGCCATGCCGTCGCTGGGTACGGTAGCAGGGTCGCTTGCTTCGAATCCACTGTTCCAGGAGCCTGGCGGCAGTGGAGCTGCTGATGTGGCGGCCAGGGCGCGCTGCATGGGTCGGAGCGGCGGCGGCAGAGCCAAGGGCCGTGGCAAGGGACGGGGAGGGCGAGCCGCGGACGCGCGGGTGGCCGATGCCTCGTCCCACGTCCGACCTCCTGCTCGAGACGTCGACGGACGTAGCGCCCCGAGCGGGAGGGCTGCCGCGGCCCAGGCGGGCCCGCAGCCGCTCGACTCCAGGCCCCGACATGGTGCTGAGCTGGACGGGCCAAGCCATGGCGCTGGAGGCCTAGTGGCCAAAGGCCGTGGCAGGGGGCGAGCTAGGCGAGCCGCGGACGCGCGGGTGGTCGATGCCTCGCCTCTCGCCCCTGGGCCCACTCGGGCCGTCGACGGACGGAGCGCAGCCCCGAGTGGGGCCTTGGCCACAGAGCAGGCTGGTAGCAAGGGCAGCATCGCGACGTTGAGTTGTTCGTCCGAGAAGCAGCTGCTCGAGTACATGGCGCACTGCAGTCACACAGTGGTCGCGGTGCAAGAACACCATGTTGCCCCTGATGGTCTGGCTGATTCGCAGCACCGTTTGCTGGGCGCGGGCTGGCAAGGCATTTGGGCAGCAGCCAACCCCACTGGCAATGGCGGCACGCAGGCAGGGCTAGCTGTATTGGCGAGGCCGAACGTCCTGATAACGCGTGGGCCGTGCCTGAACGGGCAGACCGAGCTGGCTGGTGGTCGAGCGTTGCCTGCCCAAGTCCACTGGGGAGTTCCTGGAGGAGTGGTGCTGGTCTCAGTGTATCTATACGTCAGTGAGGGTTGGTCAGACAATAACCTACACATCATGCAAAAGGTTAGCAGTTATTTGGGAAAGTTGAATCAGGCTGGCTACGATTGGATTGTGCCAGGAGATTTCAATATTGAAGCGTCGCAGGTTGGTGGTATGCGGTGGCTTCACGGGCTTGGCGGTATGCTTCGGGCTCCAGTTGCGACCACACGTCGACAAGCTATGCCTGGTAGTTGCATCGGCTATTTCCTCACATCGTCTAACTTGGTGACACGTTGGGCAGCCGTGCGTACAGGAAGCGACTACCACTTTCCCACACTTGCCTGTGTACATGCCTATCAGTGGTAAGGACATCCAGTTGTATCATCGTGAACTTCGTGGGCCGCGTTCTGTGCCCAAGCAGCCGAAACCAGGATGTTCGAGGTTCCCATTATGTTGGCATGGAGTGACACGTCTTATAGATGCCGCGTGTGACGATAGCAGCTTGCAAGTGACATGGGATGCAGTGTCGAGCCAAATCGAACTGGAGCTGCTTGCCAGGCATGACATCGTTGGTGCCAAGGTCGAGCCGTGCGTCGGAGCATGTGGCCCCGTCGAGTTCGAGATGGTCAAACTGCAGTGGCAACCGCAACAGAAACGTTCACACTTGTCGAAAGCAGCCAATGCGTGGAGTGTCGCGGCCAGGTGGGCACGACATATGCGTAGGGCGAAGGAAGCGATCACCAATGTCACGGCGTTGGTGAGTCATCAGCAAGAGACAGGCACGTTGGACACAGCCCTTTATCACAAGCTGTCGAACTTGATGATTGAGCTTGACCGTTTCGTGGCGAAGGTGTTGTCCGAGACGGCCCTGCTTCGCGAGCTCGACAGCTGGGCGTCTGACGTTTTTCTCTCAGGAATGGAGTTCCTTGTCTATCCAGAAGTCGATGCAGTGCTAGATGCAATCGAAGCCAAAGCAGCGGAGCTTGCCGAGGCACACAGCCAAAAGACCGCTGGGCGGCAGCTAGCTTCATTAATGGTGCGCGTTTCGCGCATAGGCACACGAGGGGGAGGGCGTTGCAGGAGGTGGTCAATGCAAATGTGATTGCTCGCACGCCGGCCCAGCCGCATCAGTTAGCCGATAAGGCCATGCGGGAATGGGAGAATATCTGGGCGATGCATGATGTCGCCGCCCCACAGTTGCCAGCAGAAGCGCAGGACTGGGAAGAGCTCCCACCTTTGACTGTGCTAGACGTGCAGCGCGCCATTCTTCAGTTTCCATGGGCGACGGGAGTCGGCCAGTTTAGCTTCGCACCCCGCAGTCTTATTTTCCTGAGCAATTCAGGCCTGGCGGCCGTTGCCAAGCTATTCGTGAAGTGTGAAAGTCTCTTGATCTGGCCATCTTGTAGACTGCTGACGCAGCTAGTTCGCCTCCCCAAGGCGTCAGGGGGATGCAGATTGATAGCGCTCTTGAACACGCTTCTGAGAGTCTGGGGTAGAGCCCGCAGGCCCATAGCGGCCGCCTGGGAGGTCGGGCATGACCTCGAATGTTTCTGGGGGGCGGGAGCTGGTAGGTCGAGCTCGGACAGCGCGTTTTCTTTGAATCTTGATGCTGAGATAGCGCACGAGATAGGAGAGGACAGCCTCACAGTCTTTATCGATATGCTGAAATGCTATGAGACTGTCATTTTGCAGAGCCTGCTTCACGAGGCTAGGCTGAATCAGTCCCCGATGAGATTAGCATGGATGGCGATTCAGACATACTTGCAACCTCGCTGCCTGCGTGCCTTTGCTTCGCTGTCTGTGCCAGTGCAGTCCAATCAGGGAATCCTAGCAGGCTGTTCTTTGGCCACTACAATGCTTCGGGTCCTTTTGCATAGAAGCCTGCAGGATAGCATGACTATATACCCCACGGTCAAGCCACGAGCTCTGATCGATGACGTGAGCTTCCACTGGACTGGTGAACGGGCCAGGGTGGGAGAGCACGACGGTCAGGCCAGAGACTTGGCCAATGCAGTTCGCAGCTGTTGCCTTAGCGTGAGGCCGCGAGGGTTAGTAGTCCAGCCGAGCAAGTCAGGGTTCGTTGCGAACACGACTCGAGGTCGAGATAGATTCGCTCGATTAGTCAAGCCTCTTCGTATGAGAGCGAAGCGAGCGATGCGCAATTTAGGGCACGAGATGCACGGCACTAGGGTCTTGCGTGTGCAAGGAAAGACGCGTCTTAAGAATCTCGCGGCTCGTAGGCGCAAAGTGTGGGGGTTGAAGCACGCCGCGGGGGAGGCTGTGAAATCCTTGTGGAGGACGGGGCTCCTCCCAGCGGGCGGCCATGGCGCTGGAGTGTCTGGGATATCCGGCACGGCTATTCGAGAGCTTCGAACGTTCGCTGGAGGCATGTGCGGGGCCAAGCCCAAGGCGTCGCTCACCCTGTTTTTAGCAACGCAGCGAGACGACAGGTTCGACCCTATTTTTGATGCGACGGTTTGCTTCGTTCATCTGGGACAATAGGGTCGCGCCTGGACGGCTCCGTAGAGCATGGGATGCGGGCAAGGCCAAGCTCGACCATCGCACCT